ATTTTGTATAAAATAATTAATTAAGAGAATACCAATTATTCACTAAATAATTTAGCTAAGAAAATCAGATTTTCCACACTAGGAAAATCCGAAAATCATAGCCAAATCATTAGGAATTTTCAGACCTCTCAATTAAATAATAAAATATAATTTTGCTTAATTAAAATATCCGAAATATATATAAATAATCCGGTTTTTATAATAAAATAAATGGATAATAATCTTATTCAAAATCCAAAAATAATAATTAAGTTTTAAAATACTTTTGGCACCAAAATTCAAATATCATTTTTGACTCCAAAATTAAAATAGTAAAATAAAATACGAAAATACCTTTTTTTGAAAATAATAATTAATTAATTAATTAAAAAATTCGTATTAAAATACGGGGTACTACAATATATGACAACTAAAAATAAGAACTCAAAATAAGGACCTTATGTGAGTACTTTTACTATTAGGAAGAGAGAGAGGTATAGAGTAGAGAATTGTTAAATTTATATAATTAGGTCACAAAAAGTGGGAAGGATATGAATAAAAGGTTGACATTAATGGAAAAAGTAAAAGTGAATAGAACTTTAAAAAATAGATGAAAATGAAAAGTGATCAATGAGTAGAATTTATGAGAACGGAGGAACCATACAACCGCTATTCAATGTCAAATTTGTACTATTCATTTAGTTTTTTTTACTACTTCCTCTGTTCCATAATCTAGTGCTTGTACCACAGTAATTATTGATACGTTTGATTTTTTTCCATCTTTACTTATGTATTAGTAAAAATAATAGTAACTTCTTGATATTCTACTAATACACATTAAGCTAAATCCAACGATAACTTATTAATATTTTATTTTATGTGATAGCATGCAAAAAAAGATGGTCAAGATTATTATATGAAAAAGTCAAGCATGTCAATTATAATGGAACTAAAGGAGTATTTCTTTAAATCTTTAATATGTATCTTTGAAAACAAATTTTTTGCAAAGTTAATATTATTATAAAAATAAAACTTACAGACGTTAGCTTAGATAATTAATTAATATATTACTTAAATAGTTTTAAGTTCGGAGTCTAGCCAACAAATGGTGATTAAGTTTTGGTATTTTTCACCTTTTGTTGATTAAGTTTCCAAACACCACCGTTTGGTGATTGGAGGCCAGTAAAAATTTCGGTTGATGAAAAAATTAAATGGGGAACATAAACTTAATCACCTAGGGTTAATAACTTAGTCACCTAAGGTTAACCAATGAAAAATAAGCACATGCAATTATATTAATAAAGAAAAAAATATTTAGGAGAAAAACTTAATCACTTAACGTATGTATATGAGCTTTCTCATTTAATTTTCTAGAATTTATATTAATAAAGTATCTTTTATGTGTTAACGACCACGCCTTTAGAAAATCTTTTATATTATTAGTATTACTTACTTTTTCTTTTTTGAATTGGTGTATAAAGAATAATGTAAGCATGCAGGCTATAACTTGTGACAGATAAAAAATTTTTGATAGAGATATTAGAAAATATATTAATGTGATGTAATTTTAATATTGATAAGAGTAGGAATATAGATTGATTATACTCCGTATACATTTTAATATGCAAATAATATCTTTTATTATGATTAAATTCTATACTAATTATATGCATTCAACTTAAACTTAAATATACGAATTGAACCGGTCAATGATGTTATATAAATTGATTCTTATATTCAAATTCATAATAGAGTATATTTGCCGAAGTTCTAAAAATAGCTTATATTGTATCACTAAAAATTATAAATCTAAAATATTTTTTTGTGATTGAGTTGGTTGATGTAAAAGCGAAAATTATACCTAAAGTAATATCTGGATCATAGTTTGATTTGTTCCCTTTATTTTATTTATTTTATTTTAATTTTTTTTGTCTAATGAAGTAACTAGAATGACTCTTCAAATGGTGGAAATATATATGCTGCAGATGGCTTGCTATGATGGTGTATCTCAATTTTTTTTTGCACTAGCTGGCCTTCTATTGCAATGACAGAATACATTTGATTTTTCCATAACTTGTGTATGTGTTTGTATTGCAGAATTAAAATAATTAAAATTGATGTTTATTTTTTTTTATCACTGGAATTTCTCTTAAAATTGATGTTGTTACCTCTCTCACTGGAATTGCTCTTCAAATGGTGGAATTATATTGAAGCTGGCATGCAATGGTTTTCGAGGGTGGGGGAGGGGCGGCCGACGGTTTTACGGGAAGTCGGAATGGTTTCTAGGATTTTGCGGGGCTGGGGGAGGTTTTTCGAGGGAGGGGAGAGCTGTGCGAGGGGCGGGGAGCTGGGGCAGCGAGGTGCAGCGAATGGTGGGGGGAGGAGCGACGGTGCGGCGGCTGAGTTTTCTGATGGTTTTGGTAGGTAGGAGGGTGGTGGTGGCTAAGGAATGGGAATGGAAATGGAAATACCTAGGGAGGTGGGGAATCAACTTGAATAGATTTTGGGGAATGGAGCGGGTAAAGGAAATGGAAAAATTTCCTAACAAACATCAACATAGGGAATGAATGCAGTTGATTCCTATTCCCTTTGATAAATATTCTCAACCTAACAACCCTAAATCAAAGTGCAAATAGTATATCAAATTATTTTACATCAAAGTTCTATAAAAATGGAAGATCTACTCCATATATTTTAGTAATAATGTACAATAATAAGTTATAGGCAGGGCGAGAAGTATGATAAGATTATGCATGTCAGCATGTGCGATTGTGTGAATGAATCGATGGTTTATAATTTTTATTTTATATTTAGTTTATTACGGATGGTTGTTAATTTTCTTGGACTTTAAATAGAAAGTATCTTGCATTGAATCATCATTTCACTTTTAAAAATTCAATGGTCTACACTGATTATACAAAGCTGAGAAGGTATTTTTGGCACTTCACCTAATAAATATAAAAAAAATTGAGGGTAAATGGGTGATTTTCAAAGAATATTTAATGTTAAAAAAAAAAAAAAAAAAGAAAAGGAGAACTATATTTAGAACCACAAAAATGAAAATGAGAACTATATTTAAAGACGGAGGGAGTATAATTTATTGTGAGATAACCCGACCACATTCTAAATCAAAACATTGTTTAGCAAGACAAAGCTAAGGAGTAAGCATCAATTGAAAAACAGAAATTTTATTATTAGTATTACTCCCCCCGTTTTTATAAGTGTATGTTACACTTTGACTTTTTTCATTATTTACGTAATGGTTTTGACTTAACTCTTTTACTACTTTATAAAAAATACACATATTTTATAATATATTTTTGAATTCGTCATGATGTATATATACTTCATATTATCAATTTTTTTACTATAAGTTTTACTCACATATATAATTGGATGAAATAATAATTTAATTTGCGTCGTGTCTCAGCATGCGTATTTATATACTCTTAATAAATAACCATTTTGACCGTATCGGAGCATTGCTCGGATCGAAAAACTACTCTAGATTAGATCTAGTAGAGGGAAGTGGGTATGTAATATAATAGTCACTCTACTAATAGTTTAACACGTGGCAAAAACACTGATCAATGGAGGTTTCTTGAGAAGCCCCTTTTGATATCTTCACAGTTCCATAACCTATAATATTATCGTTCAACCATCAATTAAAATAAACGATTAACAAAACAAAAGTATTTTAGCAGTAAAATTACGTTTGCTAGTAAAAAAATACGAATGAAGGATAAGTAAACATATAAAACAAAACAAAAGAAGAAAGTAGCGTACATAATTTGGCAGTTTCCCTCTTTATAAATTAAAGGACTCCAAAGACTTAAGTCTTAATCTCGTACAAACACTATAATTGTCAATCTACTCTTTCTTTGTTTTTCCTTTCTCTATTTGAAGAGCTCCATCACTAGAAGTGGAAACATCAACTTCGACTATGACTATGGAAGCATGGTTAGCAGATTTGGTAACACCGCAAATCTCTACTCATCAATTTACTACTCTGGATCTCAATATATAATTAATTACTTGTAATAATCGCATCGCATGTTGCTTTGTTTAATATAATCTGAAATTATAACCTAATAGCTAATTTGGATCGAGTGTACATTTTCTTCTTGCTATTTATTACATTTTTTTTTTTTTTTTTTTTTTTTTTGTCGAAGAAATATACAAGTATGAATTTATTTTTAACTCCATATATATTTTAGATATTACGAATTATGATCTTATACGAAGTCACCAATACCATTAATTGATAGTGTAACACAACTTTACGTATATTTATTGAGTAGTGGAGGTTACGATGTTGATCCAACGGAAACACCAAGATTAATATAGTTACTTCCGTGGAAAAATGATGTTGTTCTTAGCTTACAAAAAGTTAATATATTTTTTTAATCATCAAAAGAAAAGAAAATTTCTTATTTGAATGAATAGATGAGGTTTTTTTGTAAAAAATTAATTAATGTTACTAGCAAAATAAATTTTTGGACTCACAGCATAGTAAATTGGAGTTACTCAGCTCTTATGAACATAATATAGTTATCAATCATCATTAATAAATGAAGATATATAATCAGATAAATAAACAAATCTGACTACACAGAAAAGACTAATTCTTTTTAATCTTCTTATATATAAGTATATAAACCAAAAATCAAAAGGTGATGGTTGTTGTATTAATGTATTACTCGTATCATTTTCTTTTACTACTACTGTATTACTGTAAAAATGAATGGTTATCCGAACATTTGTACGTCATACAAATTAGCGGCATTATTTAATAATCATAAAGTCACAGTATGTAACTTATTCTCGATTTCTGAATTGCCTAACTTATAGAATTTAGAGCTAGTAATAAATGATACTGCCCTTTTTCTCTGAGATCAATAATTGGCAATAAAAAAATACGTTTGATAATCGTAATTTAAGATACTTGATTGAAGTTTTGAGTATAGTAAGATAGGCATATGGTTGAAGTTTGGAAACATATATATTACTCCGCATTGAATTAATAATTGAGAAATATTTGACGTAGAAAATGGAAACGGATCCAAATAATCCTAGTTTAATCAACAACCCTTATCAGCAAAGTGAAACAATGGAGCCAAGTTTTGAAGAACAACTCGCAGCCACACTTGGTAACGATTTCCCTTATTATCCTATCTTCGCTACGACCGTCCCGGCCTTCCCCGAGGGAAACATTCATCAGTCCCCGAGGGAAAATAAGAAAGAGACGACGATGAAGCAAGCAGTGAGTAGCGCTGGTGCCAAGAGGAAACGACGGCCAAGCCAAGTGCAAGATCACATTATGGCCGAGAGGAAGCGTCGTCAATTACTCAGGCATATGTTCATTTCACTCTCTGCCATTCTTCCCGGCCTTAAGAAGGTGCTCATTTTAATTTATTCCATCTCATTGTCATCTGATCTGATTTTTAAGCCCATTTTTTTTTTTGCCTGTAACTCTCTGTCATTGTGCATAATAATGAGTCATACTGTACAACATTACTTAAGTCAAAAGTCAACATTACTTATAGTGTTTAATTTAATTAACCAATATGCAATATAAATGAACTATATGTATGTTGTGATAATGTTATACAGATAGATAAAACAACAGTGTTAGGAGAGGCAATCAAACATATGAAGGAACTCCAAGAGAAAGTAAAGGTACTTGAAAGTGTGATAGCAAAGCGTACCATGGAGTCCGTCGTCGCAGTTGTCAAAAAATCAAAATTGATAATCGACAATGGCAGTAGTGATGATAACGTTTCTTCGTCGACTGTGGATGATTATTGTGGAAACGGTGATGATTCATTTCCAGAAATTCAGGTAAAGGTAATGGGGAAGACACTTCTCTTAAGAGTCTTGTGTGAAAAGCAGAAGGGTATTTTGGCAAAGTTATTCGCAGAGATTGACAACCAAGATTTGACCATTACTAATTTTAGTGTTGTACCATTTGAGAGCTTAGCCTTACACGTTACCATTGTTGCACAGGTGATTCCCCTTTGACATCTTTATTTTTTTTTCTTCTTATATTCAAATCCAATTAATGAATTTTTCCTATATCAATTTTTTGCAGATGGAAAGCGGCTTTAACAAGAATGTAAGAGATTTGGTTAGAATTCTTGGTAACGCTATAGCTTCAAAGTGGCTCATTAGCAATTGCATGAGATAACCAAAGAAAGGTCTTAGGTTCGAATTGAATTCCTTTCATATGGAAATTAAGGCAACATTGTTTAATGATTCTAAGATATTTTCTTGTTCCTAATCTTGCTTAATCAGTGTAGTTAGGGTTTAGTGGCCTAATTACGTGACTTTGTTATTCTAGTAGTGGAGTAATGCTTCCGATTATTTAGCTTTGTTTGTTTGGTATTAACTTTGTTATATAAGCTACGGTGATGTTTTGTATTCATTTGGTTTTATGCAATTAATGAATTGAAATATCTTTTCAATTCCATCTTTCCTCTACTATTGATTTATCATTTTCCATTATTAATTTTACTAACATATGGCAAATTCGCAACACATATTTCAAAGTGTAGGTAATCAAAATACATATTAGATTTGTTTTGTATCTTTTTTTTTTTTTTTTTTTTTTTTTTTTTTTTTTTTTTTACCATAACAACAATTATCAAGCAACATTGCATATTCTCTTTGGATTAACAAAAAATATCAAGATATTACTTGATTACACGTAAATTTAATACATGTATTTTCGTTTGTAGATGTCGTATGACTTTTAATTAATTAATAGATTTGTTTCAAAAAAAAAAAAAAAAAAAAAAAAATAATACATGTATAGATCATTTTGATAAGTTCTAGAAAACTACATTTTTCATCAAATCCTTTCAGAACTCACTAAACTCTTTGATAAGCTTCATTGTTTATTACGAAGGAAAAGGAATTAAATAATGCCGTTTGGGTTTCTTCACATCTACCACATTGTAATCTCCAAAATCAATCAAAGTTCCATTTCACCATCCATGTAATCATTACAAGCAATTTTGGAATGTTATTAATGGAGTATAAAACCAAACAAAGCTCTTTTGGTTGAGCGGATCCTTTTACATGACTTCAGATCTATCAAGACAAGGTCATGAGTGTTGTATAGATCCCTCAAGAAAACAACTTAGTTGAAAATTAAACAAAATGTCTACTAGTAAGAATTTATCGTAGTTCACCTCAATAAAGATCCAAGTTTAGAGCTAACTGCATGAAGATCAAACGTAGCTAGACTCTGAACAACATCTTGTGGTGTCATATTGAAGCTTGTTTCCATCTGCCAACACACAAAAGATTCTATGGAATATCAATGTCTTACGGAGCATTTCTAATGACAAATTAAACTAAATAATTAATATATATAATATCATCTAATTAAAACAAATTGTTAAGGCCAAGCTAGCTAATTAAGGATGTTATAGTTTTATATACCTGGGCGGTGATGGTGAACGGTGATATCCATTGTTTCATGGAAGGAGATAGCATTTCGAGATCGCTCATGATTTTTAACGGAATACCCTTTCTCATCGCGCATTGAATCTTAATAAGGATATTGTTGCTCGAAAATTAAACCGGGCTTCGATATTTAGGAGGTTGGTCACAATAGGATCTGTTTGAGGGACTCTCATTGGATGTTGATGAGTTAGTCTCATTGTTATCAAAAATTAAGTTTGGTCGCTTGATCACAACAACGGCAACGGGTTCCTTCGGTTTTGTAGCATTTGCTTGTTCTATTATCTTTAATCTTTCTTTAACTTGTCGCATGTGTTTGATTGCTGCACCAAGAATGGATGTTTTATCTATCTGCATAAAATGAAACCAATGATCAATTACCTCCCTGTTGTTTGGAGACTATGTTATATTATTAATGCATTATGAATGTACTGATTAAAAAAAAGGGCTAATTAATTACATAAAACTATATACAAGTATCTTTAGTTATGAAAGAACTTTACAGTCCATCTTGAAAAATACAAACATGATTTTTTCTTGTAAATTGATTGTTAGACTATGTAAATAATCTAGATAGTGTATATTATTAGTTTGTATTTTACTAATGTATCCTTAGCCCTAACTCTAGTATACTCTTGTATATATATTGATGTTTAATCAATGAGAAAGGCACAGTAAATATTCTTATATTCTCTCATGATATTACGAGTCTAGGTTTTCTCCTTTCTCCTTCTTCTCCTGTTTTAATTATCTGAACATAACCAAATAAACGTAAAATACTCAGGAAACAATGGGCCTAGAATATGGACAACGGTGCAAGAATCCTACATTGGTTCCCATGTCATTTTATTTTCTTCCACGTTAGAGTGTTAATTTAATGGACCAAAAAGTAAATACGAAGTACAATATTATCCATAAGATCATGACCCATTTCCCAATATCTTTCTAGATCGATCGATGATTTGTTTGGCAATCAGTGTTTGACTAATAATGGTTAGATTAGTTATTTTGTTTGACTAGTGAAGGTAGATCGATCTAGTAGTTTGTAATTATAGTGAGATTTTATAGTCGAATTTATTTATTTATTTTATTAAGAAATTGACCATATAAGTTAAATCATAAAGAAGAAAAAGAAATAGAGGGAGTAGCTATTATTAAGTAAATAAATGTTTAAGTGCAAACTATACTAATTCAATTTCTGAAAGTAACTTTTCCAAAAGTAGTAAATAATGTAAAATTGATGCGTGATTAACAGTTAAAAAAAATGGTGGATAAACTAAAAGAGTTAAAATCTTCTTTTGGCGTGCTTGTTGTGGGGCTCTTCCTACTATGGTGGGATTGAAGAGGAGAGTGGAGAGTATGAACCCCATGTGTAGCATATGTGGTGCGACAGACGAAACGGAGCTTCATTGTCTTCGTGATTGTGTGATTGCGAGGCTGATTTGGGATGAGAGTGGTATGGGTGATAATTTGGATGGAGTGTTTAGGAGCTTTAGGGATATAGCATTGACTAAGATGGATTGTTTTCCAAGAAAGGAGCACGGTCTCTTCATAACTATTTGCTGGGCTATTTGAACAACAAGAAATAAGTGGTTATTTGAAGGGGAGGCTTGTGACCCCTGTGGCTTGATGAATTATGTGACGAAGCTTATGGCCGAACTGCAGCAAAAAGAAGATGGTCCGGTGGGGGCGCGACCTATTGTTCGAAAGCGTTGGCAACCTCCTATGGGAAGTGCGGTTAAGGTCAATGTTGATGTTGGAACGTGGGAGGGTCTGGGGTCGAGTGTGGGTGCTGTTGTGCGCGGGGGGGGGGGGGGGGGGTGGTAGGGGGAAGTTTGGGTGGGTGATGGCGATGGCGTGTGCTGCGATGGCGTGGATGTTGGAGGACCGCTGGACGCTAGAAATTGTGGAGGCCAAAGCAATGCTCTTTGGATTACAAGCTGCTATGGAGCCGGGCTATAGAAAAGTTGTTATGGAGAGTGATTGTTATTTGAATGGTATACTATAAGAGGGGGGTGAATTGTAGTATGTTCCTTAGTACCTAATTTTGACGGAATATAAAGTTGATTGCTGTTAGGAACTTAGACAATGCAAAGCGGATTTTACGAGGAAACCATCCAGGGCCTAACTGGAAGTAAAACCTTGACCCTCCAAGGGATTTCAAATCAAACCAATCCACTATAATAGGTCAAATACTCCTAGTTACAACCTATTACAATCACACCTTTCTCACAAGTTCCTGACTGAACTTGCTACTCGATAAGACCCTATCTTACCCAACCTAAGTCCCGGACTTAGATTCCACACCGTACTCCAAGAGTGCCACTCACTCGGCTTCTCACCAGAAGCTCACACGGCCACACTATAAGCTCACACTTTGCACTCTTACAATACTAATAACAAGAATCCTCACGAACTTTCACACCCCAATACATAAAACACTCAAAACCATTTTCCCATTACAAGATCTCAAAGAATAATAACTCTAAATATATATAAATGAATAACGAGATATAAAACTAATATGTTACTCGAGATCTGTCTGAAACTGACTGGACGAACTGAAATCAAACCCTGACCGGAACTTTGACTGGGAGGACTGACTTAGCTTCGTGGTGAAGGATGAAACCATTAACCACGACCACTGCACGTCGTCAGCCTCAACTTTGAATGAATACATATGAGCATATAGTATAGCCAAATTATTCTTTTCGTAAAAGATAGGTTTTATCAAAAGATATGTTTAAAAGATATTTTCTAAAAATAAGTTTTCCAAAAATATATCTTTTTGTTAAGAATAAATTCTGTCAATAATAAAAAGATATACTTACCATAAAATAAGATTTTATTTAAAACTTATATTTTAGTAAAAATACTTTCTAAACAAACTTATCTTTTTCCAAAAGGGGTTCATTAGAAATAAATATCTTTATTCAATTAAACCAAATCTCTAAAAGATATGCATGTATTCGGTAAAGATATATATCATTAAAACCGATTTTTAAAGACATGCATACTTAAGTTCCTATTAGGTTCTAGAACTCTGACAGTCTCTGAGTTCCTGACAAGTCAGTAACTCTAATTTCATTGACTGTCTGGATTTCACCTTGGTTCTCTAGACTTGTTCCAGATTGACTTTTATGTCCAACATACTTACATCAATCCTAGAGCAATAAACTTCGATTTCTCCGTCTTCAATGCATCCTCGAGGGGATAAGTTGTATAAGGACATGAAGAAGACTTTTTGGTGGTCCAATATGTAGAGAGAAGTAGCTAAATTTGTGGCCAAGTGTTTAACTTGTCAGAAAGTGAAGATTGAGCATCATAGGCCTTAAGGAAAGGTCCAATCCTTGGAAGTGCCAAAGTCGAAGTGGTTCGATTTTAATGGATTTTGTTGGAGCATTGCCTAAGACCAAGGTAGAGAATGACACTATTTGGGTAATAGTGGACAGGTTGACAAAATCAATAGCATTTATACCCATGAGAAGTACTTGGACTATGGATCAGTTGGGAAGAGCTTATGTGAAGTTTGTGGTGAAGTACCATGGGATAACCACAGATATTATTTCGAATAGAGATTCAAGATTCCTGTCTAACTTTTGGCAAAGTTTGCAAAAGGCGATGGGAATGAAGTTGTTAATAAGCACATCATTTCACCTTGCGACGGATGGTCAGACTGAAGAACCATTCAGACATTGGAGGATATGTTAATACACTAGTAGAAAAATTGAAAAAGGCACCCCCCTTTTGCCACCGGTTCTTAAAAACCGGTGGGAAAAATAGTGGGTTGATTTTGGATAATCACTTTTTCCACCGGTTCCTGATAAACCGGTGGCAAATCCTAATTGTTTTTGTTAAAAAAAAAAGAAGGAAAAGAGATTTGCCACCGGTTCAACACAAACCGGTGGGAAATCTATTGTAAAATAAAAAAAACCCGGATATTCTGTTTTTTTCTCTTTCATTTCCTCGATCTTTCCTCCTCTCTCATCTGCCTCTCTCTCTCCTCCATTGAAGCGTACTCGAATTTCTCCATTGAAGGGGCTTCTGAGCTTTCTCTCAGCACTTTCCTCAAACTCCTTTTCTCTCCTTCGATCTCCTTCTCCATAACCGCCACTTTCCCTTTCCTTTCCTTTCTTCTCTCTTTCGATGTCCTTTTCCTTCTCTCTTTCTACAATATTGGAGGTTAGGGTTTCTGGGTTCGTCTATTTTGAATCAATTTGATGTGCGTGCTTCTTCAACAACAACAAATTTGAATCAATTTCGAACCAAAAATCAGAAATTCGAGGTTAGGGTTTCTGGGTTATTTAGCTTTGCATTATATTTTGGTCTTTTG